ACCCATTTCTGTTAAACTCTTGAGAGACACAGGCTCAGCCTTATCTCTTGTTACTAAAGAAGCTGCTCCATTCCTGGATTCATGCTATACTGGTAGCTGGGTGCTTGTGAACGGTTTGACCGGTGGGTCGCGTATTCCCCTTTGTCAAGTGTACCTGCGGTCATCCATAAAGTCAGGCTATGTCACGTTAGGAGTAGTAGATAGCTTACCTGTAGAAGGGGTCTCTCTATTGATAGGAAATGACCTCGTTGGCGACATGATGTTCCCTAATGTTGTGATCTCATCTTGTCCCACTGCCGAGAATAATACTGTGCAGTTAGAAGTAGACTTTCCAGGGTTGTTCCCTGCGTGTGCTGTGACCTGTAGCATGAGCTGCAGTACAGAGGTAGAAGAGACTAGTGAAGTTGATGAAGTTTCCCTCCAGGACTGTGAGAAGTCCGAGGATAATCTTATCCAGCCGGACCATACTGATCTTAGTCTCAGTGAATTTTTTGAGGATTCCCCACAACCAGATAACCTCCAGATTAGTTCTGATGGAGATAGGAACCCAGATGTCACTAGTTTTGGTTCCTCTCCCATCACTAGGAGTAAGTTTATTGAGCTACAAGCAGGGGATCCTGAGCTAGTAGGTTTTCTCAATAGGTCAGTTACTGAGACAGAAGCTGAGCAAGAATCAAATTGCTACTACACTAGGTCTGGTGTATTAATGCGGAAGTTCCGTCCCTCCAATTCTCCTGCCAATCACCCTTGGTTAGTTCATCATCAAGTTGTTATTCCCAAACCTTTGTGGCAGGACATACTTAGTATCGCTCATGATGGGGTGGGTGGTCATTTAGGAGTTAGGAAGACTTATGCAAAAATTTTATCCCAGTTCTTTTGGCCTAGGATGAAGAAAGACGTCAGCTCTTACTGTCGCACTTGCCATGATTGTCAGGTGGCGGGGAAACCGAACCCCAGTGTTAAACCATTCCCTCTGCAGCCTATCCCAGTCATTGAAGAGCCCTTTAGTAAGGTGGTCATAGATTGTGTCGGCCCCTTACCTAAGATCCCTCGTGGTCATCAGTTCTTGCTAACCATTATTGATTGTGCAACCCGTTATCCTGAAGCCATTCCCTTGCGCCGCATCACAGCGAAGAATGTTATCAAAGCCTTAACCCACTTCTTCACTCAAGTAGGCCTTCCTACAGTGGTACAGTCAGATCAGGGTTCCAATTTTACTTCCCGGTTGTTTAATCAGGTAATGCAAACCCTGGGAGTCCGGCAGTTGAGGTCTTCGGCCTATCACCCTCAGTCACAGGGGGTGGTAGAGAGATTTCACCAGACACTAAAACTCATGTTGCGCACCTTCTGTCTGGAGACTGGGAAGGATTGGGACGAGGGAGTTGACCTGCTTTTGTTTGCTGTTCGGGACAGTAAACAAGAGTCGCTAGGATTCTCGCCCTTCCAGCTCGTCTATGGACATGAGGCGCGAGGGCCTCTTAAGGTGTTAAAAGAGTGTTGGTGAGTGATCAGAGCGCGACGCCCTTAGCTTCATATGTGGTCCAATTCAAGGAGAAGTTGTGTCTGGCTGTAGAACTTGCCCAGTCCAACTTAAGGTGTGCTCAGGTGAAAATGAAACTGCATTTTGATAAGGCCCATCAGGCAAACCTAGAGAATTCCAAGTGGGGGAGCAGGTGTTGGCCTTCCTGCCCTTACATGATCACCCTTTTAAATCCAAATACAGTGGTCCATATGAAGTACTAGAAAAACAGGGGTCAGTGAATTATGTGATTAGCACCCCTGAACGGCGTAAGAAAAAACGCCTTATCCATGTCAATCTTTTAAAGTCATATCATGTTCGTAACGAAACCCTGGGAAAAGCAGTTGCTTGTGTTGATCAATCCTTGCCAAATTGTATCATTGTGCCAGAGTGTAAGGATGATAAAGATCAGTGTTTTTCTGAAATAATGAATGGGTCTAGTGTAAAAGTTGAAAACTCTACTATCTTGGAGGACCCCAGTGCTAAGTTGTGTCATCTCTCTAGTGACCAAGCCAATAATATAAAGTCTCTATTACAGGAGTATCTTATTATAGTTGGTGATTACCCACTCTCTTGTTCAGTGCTGGAGCATGACGTTGAGACCAGGGGAGCCAAGCCAATCCGACAGCGTCCCTACCGTCTTAATGCCTTCAAGCGGGAGTGTGTGCGAGCCGAGGTACAGCGTCTTCAAGAGCTAGGCCTCGTCGAACCCAGCATCAGTCCATGGGCATCCCCTGTTGTTCTAGTTCCAAAGCCGAATGGGTCAATGCGGCTGTGTGTGGATTATCGCAAGGTGAATGCTGTCACTGAACCCGATGGTTATCCCTTGCCACGCATCGACGACGTGATCGACGATCTTGGACAGGCAAGGTACGTGACCAAGTTGGATCTCCTCCAGGGCTACTACCAGATAAGACTGACTGAACGCTCCAGGGCCATCTCTGCTTTTGTCACTCCTGAGGGGTTGTACCAATTCACAGTCCTTCCGTTTGGTATGCGGAACGCCCCTGCAACCTTTCAACGCCTCATGAATTTCATCACGTCTGGTCTGGAAGGTGTCCGCTGTTACCTAGACGACCTCATCGTCTTCAGCAGTTCCTGGGAAGATCACATGAGTCGTCTACAAGCCCTCTTCTCCGTACTGGCTGCAAGCAAGCTGACGGTGAACCTCGTCAAAACTGAGTTCGGCCATGCCCACGTCACTTTCTTGGGGCATGTGGTCGGACAAGGGGAAGTCCAGCCTATAGCAGCCAAAATTGAGGCAATTCAACAGTATCCAGTGCCAGGCGATAAGAAGAGTGTGATGAGGTTGCTGGGTATGGCGGGGTACTACCGCCGTTTTTGTCCAAACTTCTCCTCCGTTGCCTCTCCCATGACTGACCTGCTGAGTGGCAAGAAAACCTTCAAGTGGACTACGGCTTGCCAGGAATCTTTTGAGAATCTTAAATCCCTGCTGGCAAATGCTCCTGTACTACTTGCACCTGACCTCCAGAAACAGTTCACTCTCCATGTCGACGCCAGTGAAATTGGCGCCGGTGCTGTGCTTCTGCAAAAGGGTGAGAGTGATCAAGTGCTTCATCCGTTGTGCTATTTTTCTAGAAAATTTAACAAATATCAAAGAAACTATGCCACCATTGAAAAGGAGGCTTTATCACTGATCATGGCACTAGAAAACTTCAAAGTATATATTGGCAGCACTGCTTATCCCGTTCAAGTGTTCACTGATCATAACCCACTTACTTTTGTTGACAAGATGAAACATACCAACCAAAGACTTTTGAGGTGGGCTCTATCACTTCAGCCCTATAACTTGAACATTTCCCATATCCGCGGAAAAGAGAACGTGTTGGCTGATGCACTTTCTCGAGTCTGATTATTTAGTAACTATGTCTATATGCAAATTATTTTTTGTTTTATTGTCATTGAGTACCTTGTGTTTATATTATGAATTATTTTGCTTCATATTGATTTAAACCAATTGTGTTAGTTATTACTTTCACTGTGTAGCTGTATATCCATTTTCGCTTCCAGTTAGTTGTAAGCTCACTTTTTTGGGGGAGGTGTCACGTGCCTGTAGCGCTCGGGAACTCGCATAGCGTGAGGCATATGTTCACGCCTCCATTTCACACAAGCTATTAATAATTTGTTAATTGTACTTATTATATTATTATTGTTCTTAGTTACTTAGGTTAATTGTATATTTATGTATGTTATTAATATGCATCATTGTCTTACTCTGTTAAGTTCAAATCAAGAGAGTATTAATTAATTATATAAAATATCTAGCAAATGTCTGGATCACGTGAGATGAGACGCGCTGCTCGGCGTGCCCACGCTCCCCAGTAGCGAAAATCCGTGGCATAGGTTAGACGTGTCCATTCGTTCTCTAGCCTTGACCCTTGTCTAGTGCTTTATCCAGCCTTCTGCAATGCCCTAGGGGTATCAGGTATTAGTGACACGTTTAGTTAGGCCTAGGAAGGGATCCTGGTGGTAAGGAATCTCCTGTTTGGTAGGGATAATCATTTTGTAGTGATTGTTGTATATATATATTTCGTATGTCTTGTGTAATATAGTAATGTTAAGTAATATTTGTTTGGTCTAACTCCTTACAGTATATTTTCGCCCTTCCGGCATCACTCTTATTTTATTATACAATTACTTATTCCCTTAAATTCATGTTTGCTAATCATTACTCCCTTTAAAACATAAATTGAATTAATTAATTATCTTCCCTTTTGTGATTCACTTATTTCAACTGTTCTTACTTTTTCAAGTACATTTAGTTGAGTAGGTTTTTGGTGAGGATAATTATTGCCGTGTTCCCTATTTGTTCCTTTATTTGTTAATAACTTGGGGTAGGATTCACTCCCCAAGTATAAAGGGTAGTGGGATCGCGACACTCCTAAATGACACACATCGGAAACACCCAGAAAAAGTGTAGAAGAGGGCATGCAAGATTAATCTCTCCCCTCCTATTCCACATACCAAGAAGCGCTCAACACACTGACCCTCTCGGCTCTCTCTGATCATGAGAAGCTTCTGCACCATCCTCGAAACCGGCTCCTACTTCCACCCGCGATTCCTCGTCCGCGAATTGCTGTTTCATACCACAACTCGTAGTTAACCAGTGTGTTCACTCCCAGCCAATCTTACCTTTTTGCACTGTTACTAAGGTGAAATGCCCTGTAGTATGACCTTCTCCCCACCTTGTTATTATATATCATATTTGTATCACTTATGTTACTTGTATATTATTTGTCAATTAAGGGATCCATGCCCCATTGCCCCAATTATATAACTGTATATTTTCAGCCTTCTGGGTGCAATGTTCTTTCAATAAACCGTTAATTATTATTATCACACACACACACACACACACACACACACACACACACACACACACCCAGGTATACATAAACACTTAGCTGCACTACAGATTAACCTGCCGTTGTCAGTAGTGTAGCAGCATGGCAGTCAGTACCTTGGTGAGAAACACAGGTGAGGTTGAGGGTGTGTCCAGGGTAGAAGGGTCCCAGACTACTCCCGCCTGTCACCCCAGCCTCGCTCCCTATGATCTCCACCTTCCTCACCGGCTCTGTCAACAACAAAAACAGGTGACTAACACAACATTATTCACGTACACATACACACTGTAAAGGGATCAAAGTATGGTTAGAAATTATGTTTAATTATTCATAGACTGACAAAATGAGTAAATCTTCTTGTTCTAAAACACAAACAATTTAGAAATTATTCAATACTATTTGTGATATTTAAGCACCAGCATGTAGGGTAGGTCATCGTCCACCACACCCAGGGTAGGTCATCATCCACCATACCCAGGGTAGGTCACCATCCACCACACCCAGGGTAGGTCACCATCCACCACACCCAGGGTAGGTCACCATCCACCACACCCAGGCACCAGCATCAAACAGACAGCTTACCTTCTAGACTGAGACAACTTATGTACTAGATTGCGAGGACTTACCCACGACGGTAAGGTTGACGAGACTGGTGTGTGCCGGTGATCTGTAGAAGTCAACACGACACTCGTAGACGCCAGAGTGTCGTGTAGTGAGGTTGTGGTAGGTGAGGGTGGCGGTGCTTACACCCACCACCAGGTCCCCCCCAGCCTGTGTGAGGTCAGCCTGCACTTGCGGCACCCGGGAGTCGTGGCTGTCGGGGAGTAGGATAATACAATACATTACACCGATAAATTACTGTAGTCACGGGGAATATAAAGCCATTATTTTATATCTTGACTGTCCGAATGAGGATGAAGAACGTGACATACATACTCTACTGCATATAGGAAAATGTTTCTTCATTGTCACTTAACACGCTGTAACAACACACACGCCTCTGAGGAAACACATCAATTCTTGGTAAGGTGCTGATCATTAAGGTTTACTCTGAAATAATGCTAAGTAACCCATCACACTTCATTCTACTCCTGGGCTCCTGCGGCTGGCTCATACCGCATAATGTAGACACACAGCGGCTGGTGGAGATGTATTTTATAAAGTATCATGGCGGGAAGGTTGTACGTACACTAAGGCAAGTTTCATTTATTTTGTTTTATAGTTTGTTAACTGTACACTGGCGATCATCTCAGTCAGTAGTGGTGTGACCAGAGAAGGAAATCTCGGATCACATGAATAATCTCCACCTGAACTTATTTCACCTAAAGATTAACCATCCTAATACCATTTAAGGGGATGAGGTTAGGTTAGGTTAGTTTTGTGTTAAGGTGGCTACTATTTAGGTGAAATAAGCTGGTGTGGAGATTCTTCAGGTGATCCGAAATCTCCGACCTGTTTAAGTCTCCTCATTGTTCCTGATTATTATCATGCTATTCTCAAGTGTCTCAATTGTTGTCGTGTCCAAAGCGTCAGAAGGTAAACTGTTCCACACTGAGTGGAGTTCTTCCTGGTCTATGTAATGCTTGATATAACTTGGCCACCTTACTGTACATTCAACAAAGATTATTATAAGTGTAGAACAATATACTGTATGCAGAAATGTTGTATTACTCTGAGCTGGCTGCTTTAAGAATGATAAGTTTAAAGTTTAAGAATGAGGCGACACAACTGAGTCATATTAAGAGACTGGATCCTGTGATTCCTGTCCCACTTGACTAAAACATTACTAGTATACCACCAGCAGGAACACATAAGTGCATTATTCTCACAACAATTCCCAAGAGAGATAAGAGAGGCGGAAGAGCGTTATATGTGTCCAGGTGACGGTACAGGAACAGGTTACTACTTCACCAAGTAACAGGTGTGGCCGTCATGGTGCTGTGCCTAGTGAAGGTGACGATGGGTCCTATAGTTAGGAGCAATGTTGATACAGCACACTACAGTATACACCTAGCCTTAGGTGCGGAAGAAGGCAGCGTGGTCAATACAGCACTGGAGCCAGGGTTGTTGATTTTTTTAATATAACATCTGATTTGTTTGATATAAATTGTTTTCTTTATTTCAATTAAATTTGTAAAAATTTAAATAAGATTCTTTCCCTCGTTGACGACAACTGTTCCCAGTCTTCTCCTCCGATGGACTTGTTCATTCATGACTGACAGCAAAACTTGTGTTTCTTTTTATATCTTTGATGGCAGACACTGGTGATGGTTACGAAGAGCCTTAATTAAATCAGAACTTGTTGTTTACAATGTGTGCTGTAGCAAAGACCCTTTAGTTTAATTTATGTACATATTAAACGTCATGTTGTATCCAAAGTGTTGTGATTTAGTTGGTTTTATTTTGTTTTACTATTTACAACTCTGAAGTAAGCCTGAGGCAAGTTATCAGTGCCTTTAATACTTAACTACAGCCCCTACATGTTTGAAGTACAATACAGTACAGTACAGTACACTACAGTACAGTACAGTACAGTACAGTACATGCAAGGTAAGTAGAGTGAAGTTACTTATATTAAGCTTGTTTGTTGTTTCAATTAGAAAACAAATATTATAATTTCTGTTGTGAGAAAACTGAATAGTGAACATTACAAAGGTAAAGGTTTCTTGTGTTTAATTATGTAGGCGACTGTGATAAAGCCATAAGATGCTTTGTTTCTTTATAATAATACTGTACAGCATATAAGCAATTGTTTAATTTTTACTTATTTCCTTTTACATTTAGCATATAAAAACAAACCTCAATTTAAAATATATATTTTTATTTAAATTATGATTTAAATCAAACAACCCTGACTCGATCGTCTCCACTGTGGTAACTGTTAAGCACTCTTTCACAGCCGGGTGAACGAGTGCTCTTGGATCGAACCAGTGACTCCTAGAACAGGAGGTGAGCGCTATATTCACTTGGCCTCCATACTCCTTACTGTGTGTAATATTAATAGCCAAATAAACGACTACTATAGTATACATAACCTGATTATTGTGGTTAATAAAAATCTTCACTGTATATCTTATCCAAATATTAGTATATTTTAATGTTGATTTTTAGACATCTTTAAAAACGAAATGGAAAACAAACTTGAAAGTAACTTGTTGTGTTCTGTAGCTGTAATGATAACTTATTAGGTTTAATCTCTCTCTCATACACACCACATAATTCCGGTCGGTTGGTCTCACCTGAAAAGTGGTCTGCTGACGCCGGTCTTGTACCAGAGGACCAACTTGGGTCTGTCTCCCGGGGTGCGCGGCTGGAAGCGACACGGCAGCTGAGCCCTCATGCCCACCAGCCCGGTCACCCCCAACGCTGTCAACAACAACTCTTATCAGTATACAGACGCAGGGAACCAGGACACAAGCTATACTTCACTAATAGTTCTACTGTATAGGCCCAGGACACAAGCTATACTTCACTAATAGTTCTACTGTATAGGCCCAGGACACAAGCTATACTTCACTAATAGTTCTACTGTATAGGCCCAGGACACAAGCTATACTTCACTAATAGTTCTACTGTATAGGCCCAGGACACAAGCTATACTTCACTAATAGTTCTACTGTATAGGCCCAGGACACTAGCTACACTTCACTAATAGTTCTACTGTATAGGCCCAGGACACTAGCTATACTTCACTAATAGTTCTACTGTATAGGCCCAGGACACAAGCTATACTTCACTAATAGTTCTACTGTATAGGCCCAGGACACAAGCTATACTTCACTAATAGTCTACTGTATAGGCCCAGGACACAAGCTATACTTCACTAATAGTCTACTTCACCTTCACTAATACTACTCAATATTTTATATTTCTCATTATTTTTTCTCATGACTGGAGGGAGACCTGTGGCTCACTGCCAGCTGGAGGAGAGAGCAACACTCCTCAGGTACTTAAGTGTGGCCGCTCACTAGAAGATTTGAACGTACCAGAATTTAGAAGATAAATTAAATCCCTAAACACACACTTAGGCTCTTTGTCCAGCAAAGTGTTGTAGTGTGAGGTCCTCTGAGCACTGAGGTACTCCACAATGTGTCTCATTGACCTGTCTTGCATCACTCTAGCAAGGTAACCTCTTTTTTGGCACACAGACGGTCAGACCTCTTAGTAGCGTTATAAGGTTTATAAGGCCATAAATTACGTCAAGTTAACTTCCTTGTCACTCATCTAATATACTATAGCGCTAGCCGTGCGTGTATCTGGTCTGGGCAGGCGAAACGGCACAATCGTTTTTCATCAAACTTCGTGGAAAAATCGCAAAAAATTCGTACAGTGAAAAAAATCTGGTCCCTTGTCGATGGTTACTTTAGGAACGCATTAGTTAAGGATTTTATTTACGCTGGCCACAGATGTCGCTGTACCCTGTCTGCCGGCCCGACGACTGCAGTTACCGTGCGGCTGCCTCCTCCTCCCCCCACTTTTTCTCTTAGCCTACTTTTTTTTTTAATGTTGTTTGGATTAGTAAAGGAAGGAAGATGTAAATAGAAGAAAGAAAGGGAAACAAACAATAGTTAGAGATAAAGGTGGGGGGATCAGGTTTCATCATGCGTCTGGATGCTCAGTTTAACTTTACCAGAGCATTTTCGGACCTTCCGAGGCTACAGTGTGTACTTATTTCTCCCTTATGGCGAATATTTCTTTAATAATTATTCTAACCTTTATTCTATTCCCGTAACGCCAGTATATTAGATACTGTAAGTATCACGAACACGACCATGATTATAACAACCACGACCATGATCATAACCGACCATGATTATAACAACCACGACTATGATTATGTAAACACGACCATGATTATAACAACCACGACTATGATTATAACAGCCACGAGTATGATTATAACAAACACGACCATGATTATAACAACCCAGCCATGATTATAACAACCACGACCATGATAATAACAACCACGACCATGATTATAACACCAACGACCATGATTATAACAACCACGACCATGATTATAACAACTACGACCATGATTATAACAACCACGACCATGATTGTAACAACTACGACCATGATTATAACAACCACGACCATGATTATAACAACCAAGACCATGATTATAACAACCACGACCATGATAATAACAACCACGACCATGATTATAACACCAACGACCATGATTATAGCAACCACGACTATGATTATAACAACCACGACCATGATTATAATAACCACGAACATGGTTATAACAACCACGACTATGATAATAACAACCACGACCATGATTATAATAACCACGACCATGATTCTAACAACCACGACCATGATTATAACAACCACGACCATGAATATCTAATCTCTCATGTACTATAGGAAATTATTTGTATTAGACCGATATAGTTACAGAAAAAATAAAATATTTACATGTTGTTGTGTATTCTTATTACTGTTTGACTGCTGTTCCCAGGTAACCGATTCATTAACAAGTGTTCTTTGCAAGCGCACCGACGTTAAATACAGGTGCCGGAGCACTTCTCCAAATATTCCCTCCATTACTGTTTTGTCGAACTATATAGCGAACTGGACACGAAGGGCCCACTATCATTTGTCTAATATACTATAGGACTATCCGTCTGTATATCTGTCTGTCTGTTTGTCTGTCTGTGCAGCCGAAACGGCACAATCATTTTTCATCACACTTGGTGGAAAAAGCGCAAAAAATTCGTAGAGTGGAACAAACCTGGTCCCATGTCGATGGTTTCTTTAGGAAGGCATTAGTTAACAATTATATTTACGATGGAAAACGATACAAGTCTACGGACCTGGCGCACCCTCATTCGCTGTACTCTGTCAGCCCACGATTGCAGTTATCGTACGGCTCCCTCCTCCTCCCCTCACTTTTTTTCTTAGCCTACTTTTGTTAATGTTGTTTGGATGAGTAAAGGAAGGAAGATGAGTAAATAGAAGAATAAAAAAGGGAAAACAGAAAATAGTTAGAGATAACAGGTTGGGGGAGCTGAGTTTAATCATGCGTCTGGATGCACAGTTTTAATGTTACCAGACGACCTTACAGCTACAGTGTATACTTATTCCTGTGGGTGACTGTACATGGAAAAGAGATAATAACAGGAATGCATGGAGAAGATGACCACAATAGACACACTGTGAATATAGACAGTGAAACAGACAGGAGGTTGACAAAACTAGACAGATTCATACATGCACAAATAGACAATTTGGCAAGTAACATGACAGACAGACAGCTGACTGACTGGTTCGCATTACACAAACAGGCAGACACACACATACACCAACAACGGATAAGACAGACAGATTTGACGACACAAATAGTACTGACGGGCTTACATTCAAACACCACGCAGACGAACAGACAGTTGGGATGGCAATAGACAGGAAGGATAGACTTGAGACAGATTAGAAGGCATTTATAAACAAGAATAACAACAAATTGACCATAGCTACGTCAGTGAGGGTAGGAGGTCTTACATCCACCAGCGTAAATAATAAGACGCATTGAAAACTAACACCCTCGGGCGGAAAAAACATCGATGATCGGTCAGTCATGCGAGATGGGCCTAAAACTGACTAACGTAGATGATGACTATGATGACTTAACACAGGTGATGACTTAAGCAGATGGTGACTAATATAACCAGACTCAAGGACACTTCTCTTCATAATATAATTTATCTCGGAATGATCATCGGTGATTCATAATCATTTTTTTTTATGATTTTAACCTCTCCTTATGGCGAATATTTCTTTAATTAATTGTTCTAACGTTTATTCTAGTCCTTCTTATAGTATATTAGATACTGTAAGTATCACGACCACGACCATGATTATAACAACCACGACCATGATCATAACCACGACCATGAATATAACAACCACGACCATGATCATAACCACGACCATGATTATAACAACCACGACCATGATCATAACCACGACCATGATTATAACAACCACGACCATGGTTATAACAACCACGACCATGATTATAACAACCACGACTTCGCCATTATAACAACCACGACTATGATTATTTCAACGGCGACTATGATTATAACAACCCGACCATGATTATAACAACCGACCGCCGATTATAACAACCACGATATGATTATTTCCAGCGGCGACTATGATTATAACAACCACGACCATGATTATAACAACCACGACCATGATTATAACAACCACGACTATGATTATTTCAACGACGACTATGATTATAACAACCACGACCATGATTATAACAACCACAACCATGATTATAACACCTACGACCATGATTATAACAACGACGACTATGATTATAACAACCACGATTATGTTTGTAACAACCAAGACCATGATTATAGCAACCACGACCATGATTATAACAACCACGACCATGATTATAACAACGACGACTATGATTATAACAACCACGACTATGATTATAACAACCACGACCATGATTATAACACCCACGACCATGATTATAACAACCACAACCATGATTATAACACCTACGACCATGATTATAACAACCACGACTATGATTATAACAACGAAGACTATGATTATAACAACCACGACTATGATTATAACACCCACGACCATGATTATAACAACTACGACCATGGTCATAACCACGACCATGATTATAACAACCACGACCATGATTATAATAACGACGACTATGATTATAACAACCACGACTATGATTACAACACCCACGACCATGATTATAACAACTACGACCATGGTCATAACCACGACCATGATTATAACAACCACGATTATGATTGTAACAACCAAGACCATGCTTATAGCAACCACGACCATGATTATAACAAACACGACCATGATTATAACAGCTACGACCATGGTCATAACCACGACCATGATTATAACAACCACGACTATGATTGTAACAACCACGATCATGATTATAACAACCACGACCATGATTATAACAACCACAACCATGATTATAACACCTACGACCATGATTATAACAACCACGACTATGATTATAACACCCACGACCATGATTATAACAACTACGACCATGGTCATAACCACGACCATGATTATAACAACCACGATTATGATTGTAACAGCCAAGACCATGCTTATAGCAACAACGACCATGATTATAACAAACACGACCATGATTATAACAGCTACGACCATGGTTATAACCACGACCATGATTATAACAACAACGACTATGATTGTAACAACCACGATCATGATTATAACAACCACGACCATGATTATAGCAACCACACCATGATTATAACAACCACGACCATGGTTATAACAACCACGACTATGATTAA